GTTAACATTTTATGTATATTTTTGTTATATTTTTGTATATATTTACTTTAAAATTCTTTTTTAATACCTTTATATTTTTATTTTTACCATTTTAACTTTTTAGATTTCTTATTTATAACTTTATTTATTTTTTAATTTTTAATTTTTATTAGTATTTTATTATTTAATTTTTATGTAATTATTTGTAACTATACAGTTTTAATTAATTAATTAATATTTACTTAGTTTTAATATTTTGATATAATAAAATATAGAGTATTAATATTAAAGTAACATTGATTAAATTAATAATATTAAATAAATTTAGCATTAATATTACTTTATTTTTATTCAATTAACATTTTCTATTTATAATACAATTATTTTTAAATACATAAATAAAAGAACTAAATTATAAATATGATAATAATATTTATTTTATCTTATTTTAATAATAAAATGTATTTATATTTATTATAATTTTAACTATTTTTATAAAAATAAAAATTTAATTAATAAAATTAATAAATTAAGAATTTTATTATATTGTAATTTTTGATATTTAAATTAATATTAATAATTATTTTTAAAAATTTATAATTGATTATAATTTAAAATATAAATTTATAAATTATAATTAATGCAAATTTTAATATTATAACTCTTAAATTTTATAATATTATAATTTAAATTATAATTTTAAAAGATAATAATTATTTTTTATAATTTATTTTTAATTTAAATATAATAGAAATTTAATTTGATAAAAAATCATAAAATCTGATTTTAATAAATATTTATATTATTTTAAATTTAAATATATTAAATTTATTTATTAAAAAATAAAATTTATATAATGATTTTAAATAAATTAAAAAAATAATTATATTTATTTTAATAACTATTTTTTAAATTTTTTATAAAGTATTTTCTATATAAAGATTAACTTTTAAATTTTTTTTAATATTACTTAATAATAGAAACTATTTGCAAATCTAAAGTATTAAAAATATAGCATATTTAAATTTACGTGATAAAGTAATTCATAATGATCAGCAGTGAAATAATATATATTAATATTAATTTATAAAATAATAAACAGATATCAGAATATCAAAGTATATAAAATATATTTAAAATTAAGATAAAATATAATAAATAAATATGGTAGAAATGCTTCATTTGTAAAGGATGCTAAAAAAAAGATATATATTACTTTACTAATACTCTAAATTAATTAAATACTTAAATATTATATATACATTTTATAAAATAATTATAAATTAAAATTAAAAATTTATATATTAAATATATTTTAATTATTAAAAAATAAAATTTTTATTTATAATATTTTTATTCAAATTAAAAAATTATAATTATAAAAGATAATATTATAACTAATTATAATTAGTATAAGAGAAATACTTATAAAGAAGAAAATTATATAAGTTATAGTAAGTTATCCTAAAGATCACTTTTCTAAATAGATATTTTTTTTTGAAAAGTTTAATTTATATTATAATAATTCTACTTAAAGTTTCAAAAAAATATTTATTTAGAAAAATAGCTTTTGAGATAATGTTAGATATTTTTAATTATATAATTACTATTACTTTCACTTTTATTGTCTATTTATAAGTCTAATAAGAATTTAATTGTGATATCTTTTGAATTATTTTATAAATTAATTTAATATGAGAGAACTTTTCTAATATGAAATAGTTTTATAAAAATAAAGTAAAGAATTTATTTTATTTATATTTAACAATTATTATTAAAGAATAGAAAAAAATTTATATTTATTAAAATAATCTAAAAATTATAATTAATTATATTCTTTCTAATTATCTTATATTATAGCCTTTTTTTCTATTATAATTTTTTAATTACATAATTAATAAAAATAAAATCTATTTTTTTTATTTATTTCTAAATCACTTCTATTTATATCTAATTATTTTTTTTTCCTTTTTTGTATTTTGTCTTTTATTTTTATATTTCTTTTATTATTTCTTATTTCTTTATATTTTTTTCTTTAATTCCTTTTTTAGTATTTTTAATTTAAACTAATTGCATTATAATATTATTTATTTTAGTTATTTTAAATTACTTTATTTTTATAAAGTAACTTGTTAAATTAAACTAATTATATAATTATCCTATTTTATAGTATTCTTCTTTAATTAAACTATTTAAGTTAATTTATTTCAGCTATTTATCTTATTCTTTAATTTTTTTCTTTTTATATTATGTATTTTTACCATACTTAAAATAATTTTTTTTATAACAATTATAAATAAGTATTATAAGTTATAACTCATTATAATATTAATAAAAATTAAATGCAACTAGTTACAATTAGTGATAAATAAATATTATAAAATTACAATTATTTGCAATATTATATCTTTAATAATTCTTATATAAAATTTTACATTATAATTAATTAAAGATTATAATTAATTTTAAAATGACTTTAGCATTTATGTAAATAATTTTCTTTAGAAAGTTCTTACTATTTTAAAAATAATATATTAGATTATTATATTTAATAAAATTTTATTATTTGAAGCGTAAATGTAAGACATTAACAGTTAAACTTAAAAATATGCATTTGATGTTTGTTTCTACATGTGATCAGCCAATAATATATTTGTGTCATCCATATATTTTATGTTACATGTTATTCTTAAATTTTTGATTACACATTTTTTAATTATTTTTAATAATATTTATTTTTAATAATATGCTGTAAATAATATTTTAAAGATATATTTAATGATAAATAACTTTATTATTATGATTGTTACTTTATTTAATTCAATAAAATATTTTTATTTTGTTGTCTAAAGCGTAAGTATAAAACACTTACTGAAATCATATATGTGATGTTTGTTTCACACATGATCTATAAGTATTATATTACAGTTAATTAAATATCAACTATTTGAATGCTTCAGATACTTCAACAGTTTCTGTTATCTAGTAAATATTTAAATAGTAAAAAAAAATTTAAAATATATTAAAATCTTATTAAAATATCAATTAAACTTAATAAGAATAAAATTATATTATTAATAATACTGTATAATGATAATAAAATAATATATAATAAATTATTTTTTGATATTTTGATTGAAAATATAAATAATAATAAGATTATTTAAAGTTTAATCACATTAGAGAATTAAGTATAATTTAGATTAATTAATAATACAAAATTACTACTTATATAATAGATCAATTTAAAAAACTTAATATAAAATTTTTTTAAAAAAAATGCATTGTTATATTTAAAATAATATTATCATTTAAAATATAAAGGTTTGTAAACAAGTTTGCTTTTTAAAACTATTTAAAGAATAATAATAAATAACTTTATTAATACCGGCAAAGTATTTATAATTTCGGCAAAAATTACGTAAGGAAAAAATGTGTTTTCAGCATAAAGATATGATATTTATCTAAACATTGTTAATCAATATGAGTTCATTGGCAAATAGGTTATGTTACATCTAATTACGATTTGCGAAGGGCTTGTTTTGCTTATTAATCCAAATTAACGAACATCATTAGTCAAATATGCATTATTAAAGTTTTTCCGTTCTTATTTGTTCATAGGGTCCAAATAAAAAATGCAGGATATTTACTTAATATTAATTAAGGGTTATTATAAGGAAAGACCATAAAAAGTGGAATTAAGAATTTTTTTTAAAGAATTTGGAATTATAACGCACCTCGTGTTTCAAGGTTAAATATCCTGCATGACTTATTTTCCCTTAATCGAAAATTCTTTGTGTTCATTACCAAATTCTTACTACCCTTATGTTTTTAAAAAAAATTTCTACATTTATCTATATTTATGATCAGATTTCCAATCGGTAAGGTTCACTTTGTAAACTACTATATACGAATTTACCGAATTTATATTTCTGAAAAACCCGGTAAAATTTTTAAATTCGGAAATTTTGGATTTGGCATAGAAGATTTCCTGGCTAAACTACATTCAGTAATTATATTTAATTTTTAATAACAATAATGTCGATAATTAATTTAGATCCTCTTATTAGAAGAAATTTTGATTATTAAGAAAGATTAAATATTTCATCATTTAACTGTTGTAATTATTTACACAGATAGCGCGTTATTATGATAGACTTAATCTTAAATCGGATAAAGATCAAAAGGTTCTTTGTGAGTTTTTTTTTTTTTTGTTTATACCATGATGTAATATTATTATTATAGCAGAGAAATTTTTTTTTTATAAATATTCTGAAAGTTATTTTTTCTGAAGGAATAAAGGATTCTTTTAAATCAATCCTTTACACGAGTGATGAACATTTATTATATGATTTTAAGGTTTGAGAAAACTTTCTTGCGATGTTTGGGATCTTTCGATCATTGGGAACTCAAGTTGAATTTTCTGTTTCTTAGTTCAGAAATTAAGCTAGCGTATATATCATGGATTTTCCTTTGAAGAAAACACATTTGATCTCGTTTATATGATTATGCTCGTCGAACGTTTAACCGATTTTTTACCGTTAGAATGTAAGAAATTTGATATTATTTTTTCTGACAAATGAGTGTTAATTAAAAACATTTGTGACATTCATTAGGAAGCGTTTATCGGAAAATGGTTCATTTCTTTATGATTATGTTGCAGATTTAAATTATTTTTTTTTCTTTTGATGTGTCAATAAATTAAATGAAATATTACTTTTTTATTTCCCATTAATTCTGATTGGTCAATTATTGACAAAAACGTAAATCACTTATTAAAGTCCAATTTAACACCTCCTAGTTTCAAGTGAGCTGCAAAACCTAAAACCAAAGGAGAAATTAAATTATTATTAATATTTCCATATAATCATTAGCAATGTTTCAAATTTTTTTTACTTTGTTCGAAAGAAATGATATAAATACACTCACTTTTCTTCCAGATCGAAAAAATCAAAATTCAACAATCAATCAAAACAATCACAAATAAATTCCAAATCATTTTATCTTCAAAAATTACCAACATGCGTCCATCAACTCTTACACTTTTCGTTTGTGTTCTCTTATTCACAATTACCTTCTCTTTTGTTCAAGGAGACGAAATGCAAACAAGAAATTCATTAAGTTATCCAATCGAAAATGCTCCTGTCTTTAAACGTGATCACGATGATCACGTTGAAGGTGATAATCATAATGATCACAATGATACTCATGCTAAAGGTACTTCTGCCGCTTCTTCGACCATTGAATGGTCTTTGATGGCCGTTGCTGCGACGTTCCTTGCAACTTTAATTGGATTCTGATTTAATATAAAACGAACGAAAATTGTTCTTTACTGATATAATTGTTGAACAATTATAAGAAAAATTTTTTTTTTTTTACGAAAATGAATATAAACTGATTGGTCCATTACATGTTGATCGTTTAAGCATTATTTTGTATTATTGTTATTATTGTAGACAAATAGAAATAGAAATATTCGGGATTTTTTTTTTCAATTGTGAAATTTATAAATAAAGTTTATATTGTAAAATATGTTATTTTTTTTTCAGTAAATAATAATTGGCTGGTCTATAAGACTGTATTTTTTTTTTTTTTTTTTTCGGCCGAATTCATTAAATTGGATAACAAATTAATCAATAAATCAATAAATAATAATGATAAAATTCTAAATAAAACAATAAGCCTAGCAAATCACACAACCATTTTTTTGCCTTAAATGTTTTTCACCGCCGGACGTTACCAAATATTTTACACCCGTAATAGATTTATCTCTTTTCTTTTCTTCGTAAGCAACCAATAATACATCAGCTTTAATGGAAACGGATTTCAAATCACCAAGCACGTAAGGAATGCCTACGTTGTCATAAAGTTCATTTTTACCAAGAAATCCTGCTTTCGACATCATTTTTTTGTTCTTTTGTAAAAGGGGTGCACTCCACCACCCTTTATTTAATTTACATCCATCTATAGGTGTTAGTAACCTCCCATTAGTTACATAATAACATGGGGAAATATGATTGGAATGAGAAATATCTGAATCAAAAATGTAAATTCTTGCTTCTTTTTCTTCCGACGTTGCTCCCCAACCCAAATATGTTATCGGTGAATTTAATGGTTTATTATTAAATACCCCCCCGCCACGTAATTTTAATCCTAATACTGAAAAAGGATCCTTTTGGAATGATTGGTCAGATGATGTAAAGATTGATATTAACGTTTCTGAGTTTAAAGATTTAAATCCCAAATCAAATGCGTAATAAACTTGTGATAATTCAATTAAATCGTATCTTGACATATATACCTAATAAAAAAAAAAAATTTAATTTCTGATAACCTGACAAAAACTTATGATATCTAAAAATTAGTATGTACTCACCAACAAACGTTTATCAGAATTTGAAAAAACATTATTAAACCTTTGCCCAATTATTTTTTTAATCTCGCAATTTAATTTACGTGAAACAACAAAATATTTACATAATAATCTCGTTGGAAAATAGTCAAATATTTTAGAGATGATTTCAATAGGTAATATCACAACCATTTCAAATATATAAATGAATGAATAAATAACTTTCTAGTTGGAAAAAAAAAAATTGAACCTTTTAAGTAGTAAGTGGAAGGGAGAGTTGAATATATATCTCTCTTAGGATAATAGTAGTTTATTTTTAGGAATTCAGTCCAATGAACCCAATGAACCAATGAATCGTTGTTCATACTCCGATTGATATGTTGTATACATATCTACGCCACAAACATACATGAACAGTAGATATTATATTACATTTTTAATTCTTTAAACATTTTGTTCGTTTCATTGTTTTTGTTTGGCATATCCATTTTGCCAATCTGATGAGGTTATCTACTATCCCAAAATCAGCAAGCATAAATTTTAAGATTAAGTATTCTCAGAATCTGATTTTCCTAGAAATATTCCATTTTCGCTCTAACCGGTTTACATTCTCGTTTTCTTTATAAATGTTTATTTTTGTTAAATCAAATTAGAGATTATTATAAATAAAAATATAATTAAAATAACTTAATATAAATTACATAATTAAAATAAAATAAAAATAGTAAAAAATCTAAATTTTAATTAAATAAGTTTTTAATAATCTATTTAATTGATATATTTATATGACTTTTATAATTATTATATCTTTTCATTTAAAAATTTTAAAATTATTATATTTTATAATTATTAACTATACATATAGAATTTTAGAAGTTTATTTTTAATATATATATATATTAATTTTATTAATATTTATTTGTAGCTTTTTTGAAAAATATCATGTTAAGTTTTTTTATGTTACAATAATTTAATATAAAAAGTAAATAAAAAATGATTATGATAAATCTTATATATATAAATAAAATGATTATAGATTAATTTATATTATATTTTTATATTTTTACTTTATTATAAAAATAACTTTATTTTATCAAAAAAAAATATATATATTTACTCTTCTTCAAGAAGAATATGTAATTACTTATGAAAAAGTTAACTATATTTTTATATAAAAATAAAAAAATAAAAAATAAAATGTTATAATATTATTTAAGATTAGGTAATTTAAAAAAATATTTACAGAATATTATAATAGAAATATTGATAAACTTATTTATTAAATTAGATAAATATTCAAATGCTATTTAAGTTCAAAAAAATTAATTTTTAATGAAAATATTATTTTTTAAATACAGTTAGATGATCATTAAAAAGATAAGATTTTATAATTAAAGTTTAAAAAGGCAATATTTTTAAAATGACATAAAATTGCTTAAAAATTTATTAAAAATATTGTGATTAGATTATAAAAGATTAGTGAAGAGTAATATATAAATATATAAATAAAAGTAAATTTATAATTTTTAGTTTAGATAAAAAGAAATAATTATAAAATAATTTAAATTTACTTTTAAATTTTAATATATTAAGTTAATATAGAAGTTTTATTATAATATATATTATTCTTAAATAAGTATTTGATTAGTTGAAATTTATTTATTTATTAAAAATTTTTAATATAATTATAAAATTTAAAATTTAGTATGCAATTTTTAATTTTTAATATATATTTAAATTCTATATGATATATTTTTATAAGTTTAATATAAGTTTTGATAGAATTTTTTTCTATTTTTTTTCAAATTTATAAAGATTTTTAGATGTACAAAATATTTAATGCATCTTTATTTAAAGTTAGTCCATAAATTTAAGATTTGAATTTAAGAAGATTAATTAGAAAGTACTTTATCCTATCTTTAAATAATTTAATTTTTAATATTCTTTGTTGTATAAATTAAAGTATTATTATTTTAAAATGAATAAGATTATTTATAATATTTAGATCAAATAAATAGCAATAAATTTTTAATATATTTTAACTAGTTTATTATTTTTTCAATTTTTATCAATAGTCCTAATCCTTTGAAAAACATTCTTATAATATAATATTATTACTACTATATTTGACTAAAAGAGTTAAATTTCAATATTATATTGAGTATTATTTTTTCATTAAATATAATTAGATTTATTAATTTCAAAAAAAGTAAATTGTTGATTTATTACTTTAAATCGCTTATTTTCATTTTTTAATTGATCAATTTTGTTGCTTTATATATTATTTTAATTGATTTTTGCATTAAATTTCTGTAAAAAATAATTTTAATGCAAAAATTTAAAAGTGAATTTCATTTAATAAAAAGATTTCTAAATAGTATTTAATAAAACTTTTTATTTCTTAAATCTTAAAAATTATATTGAATTTTATTAAAAGACAATTTATTGTTTTTTTTATAATTTTTAATCTTATTATTCATAAAAAGTAATTTTTTAGGATTTTAATATTAAATCTATTATTGAAATTAATATATCAAGCAATTATATCTATAATAATATTTTGAAATATTTAAAATATAAGTAATAGCTTTATAAATTCTTCAAGTATTATATAAACTAATTACTTTTCTATATTCAAATTTATTTAATTTACAATTTTTTTATATCAGTTAATATAGTTTATTAAAGAAAAATAAAATCAAAGTTATTTATATTTTTGTTTATTAAAATTGATTTATGCATTATTTTATAAATATAAATATATTATATTATTATTAAAACCAGAGGTTTATTTAAAAAAATTTTATTTTAAGATTAAGAAATTTGTATAAATTAAATAAAATTAATATTATACTTGTATTATACTTATATTAATTTTTATATTATTATATAATGTATTAACTATATTAATTATACTAATTGTATTAATAATTATATTAATTTTAACATTAAATATAAGGTTATATAATATATTTAATATTTAAAATTAATAAGCAATAGTAAAAAGTTATATTAAAAGATTATAAAAATAACAAATATGATTTAAGTTAAATAATATAATTTCTAATAAAATATATATAGCAAATAATATATATAAATAATTTAATAATAATATTATTAAAATTTTAGATTAGCTAATGTAATTATTATATTAAACCTTATTAAATATTTATAAAATAAGATTAATCATTATTTATAATAGCTTTTACATAACATTATATAGTAAAAATAATTTATGAATAAATATATTTAATATAGAATTTAGATTAATATTATTTTTATTTAAATTTAATTATACAAATAATTAAAATATATTTAAAACTGGTGAAAATATATAAAATAATAATAATCATATTAAAAATTTAAATATATTTAATTAAAAATAGGATAAAAAATTTATATAACTAATTTTTTATTATATATCAAAATTATTATATTATAAACTTTTTAGTTATCAATAATTTTATTATAAATATCATTTATAAAGTTTAAATTAATTCTAAATAAATAATAAAAAGTTTTAAATTTTATGTTAATAAAATTTTATTTATTATAATTATTGAATTTTAAGATATTAAAGTTAAAGACTATATAAAAATTTTTATAATAAAAAAAAAAATTATTAGGAAAATATAATTATTTAAAATTATTTATCTAAATCATTAAAATATTTAAATTTTTATTTTACTAATTTTTTATTAAGGTTTATTTAAAACTTTATATATTATATAAGACTAACTAAAAGATTTACCTTTTAATATACTTTTATAATAATATTTCTATATAGTTTATCAAATATAAATTTTGATTAAAATTATGTATAATTTAATTTTTAAAATCAAATAAATTGATATAATCTTAAATATTTTAACTTTATATTAACTTAACTAATAAATTATATTACTTAATATTAAATTTTTTTAAAGATTTTGAAATTTTTAATTTTATATTATTTTAAATAAATATATAAAAATTATTTAGTTAAAAAACTTATGCTATTATTAACACTATCTTTATTATTATAATAATATGCATAAAATTTATAGTAATTAGTAATAGATTGAAATTATTAATTCTAATTTTGAATTACATTTTATTTTTTATTTTCCTTATAATAATTATTTTTTAATTCATTTTTATCACTATCTTCTAATTCACTTTCATTATTATTTTCTAATTCAATTTTATTACTATTTTCTAATTTACTTTCATTTTCATTATAATCATTATTTTCATTACTATCTTTTCACTATCATCTTTTTCAACTTCTCTTTTAAGATTAATTTTTTTTTTATTATCTTTTCTATTTATTCTATTTTTTAAATGATTAAATCAAAAATCAAAATATCTCTTATTTTATTCATAATATTTGAAATTTTATAACACTTGAATACTGCAAAATTATATTAATATCAATAGTATTCTAACTTACCTTTATCTAATTTGTAAATAACTAAGTAAGATAATCTGTTAATTTTTTTAGATGAAGTATAATCTTTAATAACTTCACTTATCCAATTACTATAAAGATTTTGTATATAATTTTTTAAAAGTTAAAATATAAATTCTATTATATAAATAAATTTTTAGGATTAGACCTATTAAATTTAATTAAATTATTAAAATAATTTAAAAAACTAAAATAAATTACCTTTGCTTTAAAAGACTTATTTAGTGATACATTCGATTATTTTAAATGAGAAGTTAATTTACTTGAAACAACTGTTAAATTAGTATTTTTTTACAGAATCATTGCTTTAAAGCATCAGTTTTATATGTAGTAAAGGAATTAAATACTAAAAGAAACCTGAATTATTATTTTAGCCTGCATGTTTATCTAAACATTTTTATTCACTAAGTCATTTCAATTTTGTTTATATAGCCTTTAAAATCACACAAATTATCACATTATCTAGAAATTATTCTCTTAAAACTTTTTTAAATTTAAAATAATAACTGATAAAAGTTTTGTTCTATCAGTTATACAAGCTAAAATAACAGTAAAATTTGAATATTAATGTCTGATTATATCCAATATTCAGTTGACAGAGAAAGAAAAAAAAAGCAATGCAACAAACTATTCAAGATCTAAATCAGAAAATTATTAATTTACAATTGGAAAAAGCTGTATAATCGAAATAGTTTTAGTACCAGATTGTTTAATTGTTTATTACTTGGTAAATTAAACACTATTAGTGTTTAATCTATGTTTCTAATTAAAGTTAACAGATAATTATGTTCATTTTTACAATATAATACATATAATAAAAACTCACTTTAATGAATTATGTAATCTTCTGAAAGTCTTATGATGAGAAATAAAGCCATCAACCCAATTTTTGTTTCAGTAAATGATGGAAAAGCTTATATATCAATCGAGATAAAAAGTGAGAAATTTGCCATGATCCAGATAGTTCACACAGGAACAGAGTTTTGCATCAAATTTTAGAAAATAAAAAATATGGAATTCAATCGAATTCTTTATCAAAGGCTTTAGATATAAATTTCATTACCATTCATTGATCAAACCCTCAGTATAATAATCAAATTTTGAATTTACAATAACGTAAGGTGATTCTGGAGTAATTGTTTCGAATTATGTACCCTATAAAGAAAGGTTGGAAAAAGGCAGAAACGTCTAACCAGCTTAATGTTTATTGACTCAGACTAGCAAGTACTATGTACAAGCTTCATATAGACGAAAGGCGTTGAGCTAATTCCTGATCATCGGACTATGCTGATATCTCGATGATTGCTTTGCAATTGACTCCTATAATTCATCATCGCTGGAATTAAAAGAACTATCTATTTGACACCCACCTCTAATGTTATCCCTTTTTCTTGACCGAAAGGTGAAGTAACGTTCTGTTCTTCTTTTTTGACTCCTGTCAATGATTGAAAGCTTCAAGAAAAAATATTTAAATCTAATGTCGCACAACCCTATTCTTTAGGTAAAAAATTTTTGATATGATCCCAATGTTTTAGCTGGGAAACCTATAAAAATAATTATTCCGGAACGTGTAAAGCAACCGTGTAAAATGAAAATTGATTATCAACTCAATGCCTTTCGGCTAATCGTTTTTATTTTTATTTTTTTATTTGGTGCACAGGTTCACATCATACTATTATTATTAACCGATATGGGTAAAGCTTTATTATATATACGCTAGATACATTATTTTTTAATACATCACAATAGATAGATTAACAAATGCACTTCATAAAATAATGCAGAAAATTTAATTTGTGTATACTAAATCCGCAAAAAGTTATAAAAAATAAAGTAAAAAAGAACGAATTATGAATTATGCTATTTTCACTGAGACGACCAAATCAATAGTTATTCAATATCTGATAAAAGAAATTAGTTATGAAAAAGTTAAAGGAAAAAAAAAGAGCAAATTACTCTACACACGTACCAACTTCAAATGCAGTAATGGTCCCGTTGAACTCTACACTTCATGCCACCCGCGGTTTATCCTCCCAAGTGGCCATAATAAAAAGTTAATAAAAGTCCCACTCAAATATGCGGCCGTAACAGTCAATAAAAAGCATTTCAAAGTCACGTTCCCCGACAATAATGATGTGATTAAAGCCAAATTCTTTAATACTTTCAAATATTCAGTATGATATGATTCTTTGCTCAATAAATCACGTTCAACAGAAGTTGCAATACGATTACGATCACATTCATTCTTGATATTTTCGACTACCATGATTGAACTATTAAGTGCATATGATGATTCATGTAGTCTATTACTTTCTGACATCTTATGCACGGGCGCTTGACTTCCAGTTCCTCATGTAAGGATATTGTCCGGGAGTACAAGATGACATGGCGTCGTTGGTTCTTCTGTTTCCCATATAGTTCCAGAAGTACCAACTAAGGAACCGACTCGACACAGTTCCCCCAAGGGTGGTTCAAACGTTTGGATTCTTTTTCTGTTATGGCAACTTTCGAACGACACCATTGCAATGCTGGTATTCTTTCTACTCTCGAGTTCGCTATCTGCTTGTTGTTGTTGTATATAATCATATTTGTCAGCGTATCTGTTGGAGTTCCACAGCGAACCGACGTCCCAAGCATGTATTGATTCACAACCTTTCTTATCAGGAATTGCTTTTTCTTTTTTTTCTTTCCTTTCTTGTTTTTCGTGATTTTTCACGATTTTCATTCTTTGAGTCGAATACGTGACATTTATCGTCTTTGGGCGACCTGGCGAGTTCATTTCCATCATCATGATTTTTTTTTAGGAGTCAGCTTTTTGGCAAGATAATCTCGCGACATTTTTCTCCGTCTGATATGGTATCTCCACAGAAGACCTAAAACGTTCCATACCGTGTTCACTAAAATTGGGCGAAATCCGGGAAGTGTCACTATAATCCCTGATGTTCCATATGGGGTCACAATTCCTTGATATCTCTGTAAAACGTTTTATTGAGTATAAAATCAATATTTGCATTATTAAAAAAAATACCCGAACAGAAAAAAATTTTCTGTGCAAAACGACACTTGAAATGAACAATAAAACCGTTATTAAAGCTCTTGTCCATTGATACTCCTCTTCCGTTGGTTTTGATAAATCTTGAAACCACCTATACAAGCTTGAAAAACTAACAACCAAACAACAAAGGCTAAACCCTACTTGTAAGTTCTTGTTTCCTCTGTTATGATTGGTTCCATATAGATGAAGAGAAGTGAAGGCGCGAATTTGTGCAACGGATCATTATTTATATAGTTTTGTCAATCGTAGTTTAAAAATTTTCGATTATGATACCAATCTTTTTTGGACGGATCGACAGGAAGGATTAACGGTCTTATAAAAGATGGCTTAATCGTCTTATCGATCGCCCTTAACCTTTTTATTGATAGACGTGTTTTTACGTGTTACATTTACGCGTTTTAACTATACACTACGTCAAGTGTAACAAATTTTGAATTTACAATCAAAAAAAGTCGTGATGAAAATAATGTTTTAAAAATCAAATAAATGCAAATTATGTCATGCAACTTTTGCTGCTTCTTGTGCTACTTTTACTTACCTATACTTCTAATACTTCTAACAAACAAACAAACAAAATTCACTTCATATCGGTTCAGACCTATACCAAATATGAACAATCACAAATTAATACCAATTTGGTTGACTGGATTGCTGTTAATTTACAGTCCTTTATAAAGTTGAGCAAGTTGAGTTTAAAAATTAGTACATTTATTGGATTCTTGTTATGTTATATCATGCAGAAAGACAATAAAAAATGATGCTATCATCTGATTTACTGATTGTAAAAAAAGATATTTTTACTTATCTTAATAGCTTTACTTCAAAATTGCATTGTTTTATTATTAATCAATCTTATTTAGGTATAACTATTCATTTTATTACAAATTTTGAAAAATAAAATAATAATTTATAGACATACTTCAAAGTTTATACTCATTTTTACTAATAGTAAATCAAATTTTATCAACTTTAAAAGAATTTATTATAAATGATATTACTACAGTTCTCAGTGAAAAAAATGGTAGTGCAATCTAATTAACTTTTTGAAGGGATATATATAAACATTTACATAGTATTTTATATGTATTATTAGTTCAAATGCTATATGTATTGTTTGAAGTTTACAATACATATTTCAATATAAATAAAAATTTTACAATTAGGACACAAGGTTAAATTTAAGAGTTTGATTATTAAAATTAAGCTTATAAAATATTTTACTATATTAACAAACTTCACTCATTAATAAAAAATGTTTAGCTAAAAATTGACAATAAAAATCATATATTCTAACTAAAAAAGTAAGAAATAAAAAGTATGAAGTTAAATTAATATAAAGAAAGGTTAACTTTCTAATTTTTTAGTATTTTAACATATATTTAAATTCAGATTGACAGAGAAGAAGAATACTTTTTATATTTTAATTTTTTAAGTATATAATTCCTTAATCAAAGCATTTGAGAATAAAAAAAATTTAAAAGTTATTTATTAAAAACTTTTACCATTTTTTACTGTAGATTATATATATCATATAATAGAATGTCAAATTAAAATAAAAGAAATAATGCAAATTTTAGTATATTTTCATAAAATATATTAAAAAATTTGTTTTTAATATTTCAGAATAAAGAAAAGTTTATCACAAAATCTCAATAAACAAAATCATGATAGATTATTATTTCAATATATATAAACTTGATAAGAATGAAATTCTAATCAATTAATATTCTAAAAATCTAATATCCTGAATAGTTGTGATCCTGATAGTAAAGATTCTAAAAGATCAAGAGCCCAAATAACTTATATTTTAAAAGAAGATCAGAAGCTCAAATGGCTTATATTCTGAAAGATTAGGATCCTAAAATTCTTATATCCTAAAATATTCAAAATCCTGAAGTTTCAAGATTTTAGAAAAATATATTGTTGTTATTTAATTAGCATTAGTACTTTTCATTTTAAATTTAAAATAGGTAGTTTACTTTGTAGTATAATAATATGTATTACAAAGTAAAAAATGTAAATTAATAATAAAATTATATTCTTATTACTATAATAATATAAACAAGTTATAAATTCTGTCAATAGTTTTATTATTTTATTAAAAAATATTAACTCAAAACATTTTTATTTATACTATTCACATATAATTATATAAAAATTAATACTAATAATTAATTATATAGAAAGGTTATAAGCAACTCTGTAAAGAAATTCAATCAATAAACAATCATTTCAGTTATTAATAATTGACATAATTTTACTTTCTCTTTTAATTAAAACTCTTTCTGCTTTTTTCATTATTTTTCATAGAGGATACATTTAATTTGAAGTTTAACTTAATGTTGTTTTCTTTGTATTTCATTAATAATAGTGAAAGTCTTACATAGGATCTACAAATTTAAATGTTCTAATAACGATACTAAGTCTTAATGATATTTTGAGTTCTTAGAACTTCAAATTTAATGGAATCATATACTAATTATAATTGTGATAAAAAAAGAGATGCAGAATGAACTATATAACTATTTTATATTTCTCATTAAATCCTTTCATAAATATAATTGTCTTCAAATTATTATATTAGAACATTTACTTCTAAAGGTATTTTTTGTTTTAAAATATCAAATGTTATGAAGATTTCATATAAAGGTAAAAAGGCTAATGCAAATAAATGGCATAATATAATACTAAAATAATCATCATTTCTGTATCAAACTGCTAGTTTATAATTTTGTATTTACCACTACCTATTTTGATCAAGATGAAAAAAACAATCCTTATTATTAGTATCAGAAAACTTATAATATGACATATTAATAGCTGCTAATTCAAAATTAGTAATGATATTTAATGATTTTAATTGAACATTATTTTCTTTAGTAAACTCAATTAAGTTCTTAAATACCTATTTATATTGCTTCTCAGATTTATGAGTCATTAACAAATATACTAGTGAAAAATTTCTAGAATTATCTTTAGCATCAACAGATGTATAAATTGTATACATTTGACAAAAAGTTGTAGGAACATTTTTAAATATGTCATCTATTATCTAAAATAATATATTAGATAAGTATCTGATATTTTTACTTGTAGTAAATATAAGAATTTGTTCTTGACCAATTATATGATCTTTAACTAAGAAAAAATTATCATTTAAAGTAAGATAAAAGGATTCTGATATGTTAACTTTAGAAATATTTTGTAGTTATAGTGGTATTTTCAATCTTTTAATATGGCTAATTATTCTATAAAGAGCATTAACTGAAAGAATATAAAGATAAATTTTCTCCAGCATACTAATAATATTATTTTGAATTATTTTTACAAGTTTATCTTTTGTTTTAAAGGTTTGACATTTTTATTTGAGCAGTAATTTTTACGACTTCAACATTACTTGCTTGAAATCTATAGTTATTATCAACATAACTTCAAAGGTAATACAAGTTATTACATAAGTTTATTGCTGCATAGCCTTTACAAACTTCTAATTTTCATTTTTTACAGCATTAGTAAAATATATTTTTATAGCTTTATTTTTTTACCATTAAATATTTATAAACTTTAATTTATCATTTCCTTTTTTTGATGATACAATTTTATAAATCTTATTCATTTTTATAATAGGTTAGATGAACAAAATATTATGGTAAAGAAAACTAAGGTTTTAAGTTCAAGTAAACAAAAGATTTAAAATAATGATTAAGAAAACAAAAACAATCTATGCAGGTAAATAAATATTTCTAATCAGGTAAAAATCATACAATATAAGGGTTACAAATTATTTTTCAATGATTATTTGAACTCTATTACTAATTTATTAATATATTTTATGATCATATTATGAACTATTAGGATCTTAAACATTACAATCATAATCTTTCAGGATATAAAACATTCAGGATCATAATCTTTTAGGATCTTTACTATTAGGATTGTAAATTATTCAAGATATTAGACTTTCAAAATATCGATTAGTTAAAATTTTATTTTTGTTAAGTTTATATATATTAGAATAATAATATATTAGGATTTTATCTATTGAAATTCTAAGAGGATCTTATGAGAAAAATAGTAGTAAATATAAAACATTTTATATTTTATATATATTATATTATATAAATATAAACTTTTAAAACTCATATTTAAAATTTTAATAATAAAAATTTGAATTAATTTTGAGGTCTATATATATAATAATAACTTTATTATTAATAATAATATCTCTAATATAAGAAGATTTTTATTATCTTTTCTTAAAATATTTATTTTATTAAAAAATCATATGAAAATTAATTCATAATGAAAAAATTACTATTTTACAAAATTAAAAATATATTGGAAATTATATCTTTTAAAATCTTTTTTAATCTCAAATTTATACTATAAAATTACAAAAAGAACAAAGTATTAGATTTTATAAAATCTATATGAAATATATAAATCAAATCATATATTTTTAGAAAATATATAACTAGTTCATCAGAATTATTTTTACAAAATTTTTTTATTTTTATTTAATTTATCTTTTAATAATCTACTTTTAATCTAACTCTTTTTTTTAAATAAAAGCATGTTTTAACTATTTCAAAATATATTCTATTATATATTTTGTAATTGTATTGTTAGCAATAAAAAAGCTTACTTTAAAATAACATTTGTTACTTAAATTACTAAATAATTATATATAATTTTAAATAAATCAAATATTCATTTTGATAAAATTTTTATTATAATTAATATCTATAATTAAGATAATATTTAACTTCTTTAAAGTTTAAATTAGAATTAAAATACGAATTAAAGTTTAGATTAATAATATTATTAAATAAAATAAAAGGTTGTATAGTATAATTATAATCATTAAAGAATAATTAGTATACAATATATTAATATATAAAGTATTGTAATTTTAAAATTTAATGATTATTGTTTAATAAATATATTTTTTTTTATAGCATTTAAATTTATTTTTTTTGTTAGATTAAGAAGCATGTCAGAAATCAGCTGATTTCACTTTATTATAGAGCCAACCCTTACCCCTCACCTAATAATAAATTTGATTGGCTAAAAAAATTATATATAAATATTATGATATCAGAAATAACTAAAAGTAAAATAGTTAAATTAGGATAGTTAAATAGTAAGTAATTAAATAAATAAAAATAAAATTAATAAA